ACTCTTAATTTTTCTTCAAATTATTTTTCTCAGTCTTCCTTATTTCAAAAAATTGTCCTTAAAATGTCAACACAGACTAAATTAAACTTTAGTTAATAAAATTGACAGTTTCAATAGCTTTCCTAAACAGAGCACTGAATTTACTAATATTTATCATTTGAGATTTACTGAAAAAATATATCTGATTCCAGGGTTGAGGTATTGATATCTATATTGTACACACACCACACACACACACTTTCTAAGAAATAATGTGTGTACTTGTAGTAGTATGTAAATAAATCAAAGTATTATTCATGAAAGTAAAACCAAAGCCATAAGCATGTCTTCCTGGCAATGAAAAGGTGCTCCACATTGTTATTCATCCAGGAAATGTATATCAAACTTAAAATGAGATGCCACCACACGCTGATCAGAACGGTTAGAATGAAACAGGCAGAGAATACTGATATGGTTTGGCTGTACCCCCATCCAAATCTCATCTTGAATTGTAGCTCTCATAATTCCCATGTGTTGTGGGAGGGGCATGGTGGGAGGTAATTGAATCATGGTGGCGGGTCTTTCCCATGCTATTCTCGTGATAGTGAATAAGTCTCATGAGATCTGATGGTTTTATAAAGGGCAGTTTCCCTGCACAGTTCTCTTCTCCTGTCTGCCACCATGTGGAACGTTCCTTTCACCTTCTGCCATGATTATGAGGCTTCCCCAGCCATGTGGAACTGTGAGTCCGTTAAATGTCTTTCTTTTGTAAATTGCCTAGTCTTGAGTATGTCTTTATCAGCAGCATGAAAATGGACTAATACAAATACCAAGCACTAGTGAGGATGTGAAGCAAAGGAAACTCTCACATACTATTAGTGGGAATATAATATTTAACATTTAATTGCGTCTTAAAATGGCACCTATTATTTTCTTTTTCAATCCCACATCATCTACTTTGGGGAATTGCCATTTCTGTGGCTCGTTTTGTTTGGGTCATTCAACATATGTTCTTGCCTTCCATACCACAGTTGTAGAGTGCACTATATCCCTAGATACAATGCTTAGTGTAGTGATCAGCATTTGCCCCAAGCTAAGTCATTAAGAATCTTTTAGAGGAGATCAGTCTTGTTTCTTTTTCTGGCAACACAAACTCTCAAAATAATGCAGACTTTTGGGTGGTAGGGCCATCTTGCTGTGACAGAGGAGAGCCTTTCTCAGGCAAGGAGAACTGAGAGACAAAACTCCTATGACATTATTAAACTTGTTTCTAAAGCCAGGATATATCTTGGGCTTTTTACTTTTGTAGGCTAATAAATTCCCTCCTTAGACTAGTTGATATAGTTGGGCTCTGTGTTCCCACCCAAATCTCATCTTGAATTGTAATCTCACATGTTGATGGCGGGACCTGGTAGGAGGTGATTGAATCATGGGGACAGTTTTCCCCCATGCTGTTCTCATGATAGTGAGTTCTCACAAGATCTGATGGTTTAAAAGTGTGTGGTGGTTCATCTCTCTCTCGCCACCATGTAAGATGTGCCTTTCTTCTCCATGACTGCAAGTTTTCTGAGGCCTCCCCAGCCATGCAGAACTGTGGGTCAATTAAACCTTTTTTCTTTATAAATTACCCAGTCTCAGGTAGTTCTTTAGAGCAGTGTGAAAACAGACTAATGTAGAAAATTGATATTGAGGGAAATAGGGAGCTGCTATAAAGATACTTGAAAATATGGAAGTGACTTTGGAACTGGATAATGGGCAGAGATTGGAACAGTTTGGAGGGCTCAGAAGAAGACAGAAGATGTGGGAAAGTTTGGAACTTCCTAGAGACTTGTTGAAGGGTTTTGACCAAAATGCTGATATTGATGTGTACATATACTACTGAACTATTGCTGTATCTATTTAGCTTTATCTAAGAGTGACAGAAAGCTATCACAATAGAAGTCCATAAATAACTTTGAAGGGAAATAAGCTACTGAGAAAAGTTTTTATGAAAAACCGATGACTAATGCCTTTAATATATAAATAGTACAAGCCAATAAACAAAAAGTAAAAGCATCTCCAACAGAAAAATGAATAAAGGACATAAATGACAATAGAAAATGAAGATGAGCATATGAAAAAATACTTACCTGCACTAGAAATTTTTCGAGTTGAATTAAAATATAATGCAATGTTTACCTAACAAATAAGATATATTAAAAATAATATTCAATATTGACGAACTCTGATGAGATATACACTTAAAGCATTGCTGGTAGTAATATAAAATAGTGCAACTTTTCTGGAAGACAATTGGAATTATGTTTCAAATATATTTAACACATTGTCTCAATGAAATGAGAAATACAGACAAACATTTAGGTAGAAAGATTTCTTTTTAGTTATTTATAATAGCAGTCTACTGGGAAATGGTTAAGTAAATATAAAATTTATTTTTAGGTATAATATGAAGTAGGAATTTAATTTTCCCCAAGTGGTTAACTGTTCCAGCATCATTTAGTGATTGGTTGAACATTTCTTCACTGATGTTTGACTGTACCTCTGGTTCCATATGGACAGTGGTCTGTTTCAGGCATTTTATCCTCTTCTACTGGTCTCTTTATCCCATGTTAATATTAGATAGACTTAAGGCCACAATTTTAGAATGAGTCTTGATATTGGGTAGAACAATATTCTTTATCTTCAGATTGTTTCAAAAATATTTTGACAATTTTTCCTTGCTCCCTTTTCTAACTTCATGTACATTTAAAAAACAGCTTATTCAGGTAACCTCAAAGATGCTTTTTTTGAGATTTTAAATAGAATTAAATTTGTGGATACATTTGGGAGAAATGACATCTTTTAGCTATTAAAGCTTCCCCTCCAAGAACATAATATAGGTCTTTATGTATTTAAGTATTCTTTTATGCATCTGTATTTGCATATGCATATCTATATCTATAATGGGTTCATACAACTTTTATAAGGTTTATTCCTTACAGGAACCTTGTAATTGCATTGCTATTATAAAGGACACCTTAAAATTTTAACTTTCTGTTTGGGCTGATATACAGAAAGGCAACTGATTTTTGTATAATCATCTTATATTCAGCAACCTTGAGGAACTCTTAAAATGAGTTTCCTTCCTGATAGTCCACTTTCTCCTACATTAAGGAGCTGACTGGGAATTCTAGGGTGTGAAAACTGTCAGGTTTCATTCAGAATGTGAGACTGAGTTGGAAAGAAGGCAAACAGGTAGGGTCACGCCATTCCCTCCTGACCCTGGCAATGGTGAAACTTGGAGGGCTTTTCCCTTAAATGGTATCTATCCCAGTGGAGGAGACCTTGTCTCTCTGATGTGGAATGCTGCAGCCTTACAGAGACTATTGTCTTCAGTCTGGGAGCCGGTTCCTTCTAAGCCTTTGGGTTTTAACCTCTTACCTCTTCACTGACTTCCCTATTTAAATCACCTGCCAACCCTCACCTGTGCCTGCCCTTATTCCCTATTACAGAATACTGTTCTTGTCCTTTACAGCAATGATCACATTTTATGAGTTTATCTGTTTGGTTATACCCTTGTTTACTGTCTGTTCTTCCTATCCATTGCAAGCTTCATAAGGTCAGGGACCAGGTCTATTTTGTTCATCTTTTTCCTGTTCCCTGCCATTTACTTCAATAAATGTTTGTAGACTGAACAAAGTAGTTAGTTGTCAAATATCTGCTTCAATTTTTAATGTTAACAATCCACTTGTCTCATCATTTAAAATATACCTTACTTATGTAATCTGATTTTATCTTTATAATTGCCTTTAAAAAAGGGATGCTAGTCCCCATTTGACAAATAAGGCACAGGGAAATCAAATCATATGCTCCAAATTAATATCTAGAAATTAGTAGAGTTGAAAACAGAACCCAAATCATGTAACTCAACATCTAATTAAAAAAACATATAACAAAAATAAGACAGAAAGAAAGGAGGGAATGAAGGATGGAAAGAAAAAAGGAGAGAGGGAAAAAGGAAGGTGGAAAGTAAGGGAGGGAATATTCATTTATGAACTTTCCACATCAAGGGTATACCACATCATTTATCCTTCTAAAAACTCCTTAAGTTTCATACTTTCCCATTAGGAAACCTCATACTCTCCAGACATTTCAGGCCAGCAAACAGATTAAGAATACTCTCATACAACACTGTTATAGAGGAGTCATACAGAGTGAGAAATAAAGGAGTATGCAGTTGTAGAATAAGTCTCTTTTTCTCAGCTACATTTCACAACATAAAACTGGATGGTAAAGCCAGGTCACCTAATGGAGTCTGATAATTGTAAGGTTTACTCACAGCATGATTTAAGTTTCAATTTCAAGTTCCAATTCATTCTCTCATAATTTTTCTGCCTTAGTCAACATTACACAAGACGTTGGCTCTCTTACCATTTAAAAGCCACATGGGAATATCTTGCCAGTTTTACTATAGGTATGAGTGTAAAAATAGTTTCTTTCTAGTAGAATCATAATTTAAAAAAAGAAAACTGCACTCAAGTTTTTATTTTAATCAATGATCCTACATCTCCTTTATTTTTCTTATCCCTAAATCTGATGGTGAAATAAATGGTCATTTCTATTATTTTGATTAGCTGGCTTCACACTGCGAAGTTACAAGAAGGAAAGGAATCACTTACTGCTGTCAGTCTCTATGTAATAAAAAAAAAGAGTACCAGTCCTTACGTTAACAATACTATTTTTGTGATTTGGAGGGGAAAAAACACTTTGCTGCCAAAGGGTAATCCACATAGAAGAGCTGATTGCTGGGTGACACACTGACAGAATGAGACTTTATTATGGAAACTATTAACATGAGAACTCTACATCACTACAAAGTACAGCCACTCACATCTTCCTGAACTCAAACAGAGTAACATTATATAGTATTTATGAATTCTGTCTATTCCAGGAGGGCATAACAACACATACTTAATCCAAAATCAGGGACAGATAGTGACGTTCTGGTGCTTAGAGATCACACCCTCAGGACTCCAACATACCCATTACTGAGACATCATATTCTATCAGCAGCGTTGCTTCTTGTCCACATTGTTTAAGAATACTCATGGCTTCAGCATGCGTGGTTCCAAGAAGCCGAATTCCATCCACACTGAGCAACCTGTCACCAGGTTTGATCGTGCCCTCTCTGAAGGGAGAATAAAGGAATAGTCTTTATTAATTTACCACAAAGGGGCTCGGTATTAATAGTCACTTAGCCAAATTCATTTTGTTACACATATTCTGCCATCCATCCCATCTGCAAACTTTTAAAGCATCAAGTGTGACAGTAAGAGTATAAAGAAGTAACCCTGAACAGAAAATTGCTGTAATATGAAAATCAGTAATGAGAAAATAACTACACATTAGCAAAAAACCTAGTTACCCACAGGTAATTCTTGAAGTACAAAAGTAAGAAGGGCATATTTTCCCTTTTCTACGTTTTTGCCTGAATGTCTAAAATGGATTCATTGGAGGCCAGAAAATACTATTCACCTATTTTCCCAAAGTCAGGTAAACAGAAAAGCCAGGGAATTTCATTCAAATTATTACCAGTGAATCCAAGCAGGATAGGAATTGCTGGTGAGAAATTTCCCTTGTCTATAAATTTCCCTACTGATTTATAAGGCCATTTGGCAATCATGAAATTGATTCAACCTCACATTCCCTGGAAGAGGAAGGCAAATGCTCTTCTCCCTGCTGTGACCACAGATACTCAAGGCGTTGAGAGATGACTCAGTGACACCACAAAAGTACAGTACAGCCAGGGTGGCCCCCAGATAACCCTGCCTCAGGGAGGGGCACAAAAATGAGAAAATCAAATGGTGAGATTATATGTTGAGGATTTGGAAAGAATAATAATGACCTTTGAAATAAACATCTTTCACCTAGTTCACTTTCTAAGTCCTTTGGCTCCAATTTTTTTCTTAAATTCTCAGATTTTTTTGAGTTCTAAATTAATTTGGTAATACAAGTACACCACTCACAAGCTCGTAGCCTATGTTTTGACATTTCTGTCAACTCCAACTCTAAATGTTAATAAGAAATGAAAATATTCTAATTCGCTTCAGGAAGAGTGATTCACTAGAGACACATGGAAAGGGAAAAGGGGAAACTCTTGGACATTTTGTTACCCGCTGCAAATGCAAACACACGTCAGCACAAGTAAGACACCGGTGTTTTCCTATTTTCTAATTTTATATGAAATATCATCTTTCTTAAAAGTGAGCTAATCATATGAGCTTCAAAGGAAAAGAAACCTGAATTCCTCCTACAGTTCTTTCACTTACTCACTGCCATACTGGGCAGTTTTGTCATCTGTAAATGTGGATACAAAGACCTCATTTAAAGGGTGGGTTGTAAGGATAAAATAAGATAATGTTCGCCAAGCCCTCAGTACAGTCCCTACCACATAGTAAATGCTTAATAAATAATGGTTATAAATGGTTAATTAATTAATGGTTAATATTTATTAATAATAAATAATATTATTATCTTTATCTCTTAACAAAGGTTTTTAAGTTTATCCTGGTCTCAAACAGAGACAGGAGGAATCAGTACATTTTCCTCCTCCCCTTCAACAGTCTCTAACGGCAGCAGTTGTGTTCCCCCATCATTATAGAGTGAACTTTTACTGTGGGAAACTAATACAGAGGTAAGTATCTCCAGAGACACTTAAGTTGTGAGCTTACTTGGGGCCCTACAAGGCTTACAATAGGAAAGTTGAAGGCATTTGCCCTTCACCATATTCAAATTAGCAAGGAAGAGAAATGCAAAGAAAACTCTAGAGACTAATGAAATGTCTTCCATTTTCCTAAAAGTCACTTCCATTCTGACCTAGATAGTCACTATCAAAAGATAATACTAATAGTAAGAATGTTGAGAATGGTAAGAATCTCACCACCACCACCTATCTGTCCAGGCTGGGAGATTAGCAAGAGGAGAAGATGCATTTCTAGCACCTGCCTAAAAGAGCCAGCTGAGTTCTGTAAGTGCCTCCCCTGTGCCAGGCCCCTGAAAGGCATTATATATCTCTAACCTTTGATAAAACTGAACAGCTCTGAAAGGTAGATATTAGTATCTACATTTCCAACGGTGGTGGAAATTGAGCTCAGTATTAAGTCACTTGATAAACATATAGTATAGTAAGTATAGACTCTAGAGGCAAACCTTATTTTTTCTGATTCCATAGCTCAGACTCTCAGTTTTCACATTGTAATATGTTTGCTTAATATCTACATTTTACTGTAAAATTTCTAATACATCAACTTCTATGTCAAAGTCCCCAGCTTTATTTATTTTGTTTTGGATAGTGACACAGAAAGATAAAGTTTACCTGTCAGCAGGTCCTCCAGGACGAACACATGTTATCACAACTGGACGAGATTTATTTCTATCATCATGTGCTCCCCCTAGCAAAGAAAAGGAATAGAGCTTAAAAATGCTTTCATTGTTGACATTTAAAAAAATCACCTGCAAGATTTCAGCTGAGAAATGTCCTACTTCATGTACGGAGGAAAATATGTAAAATTATCCTTGAGGCATACAAAAGGCTTAAAGGTCTTGCTCATTTTATAAAGAATGTATTTTTGAAGTCACCATTTCATCATCTTTCAATAAATACATGGCTGTAACCGGGTAATATATAAAGTATTTAACAACTGGTATGGCAAGAGGATCAACTGATTATATCAAGTAGTGGCCCGATTTGAACAGCTGTCAGTTATACAGTACAGATGTGTATATCTGTGCCAATCAAACTGATCTAAAATACTGGTCAGTAGGTCTACAACCTAACATAAAGGAAACAAAAATCAAAGTAAAATAAAAATCCTAGTATTAAAAAAGAAAGCAAAAAAAAAAAAAAAAATTCAAGTGACCAAGTGACTTTCATTAAAAGTGAGGTGTTCAAAAATTTGGGGCAAATTTTTCAGACTGCGTCAAACCAGCTGCAATCCTTGAATGGGAATTTTAATTTTCTGTTAGAAAAAATTCTCCACAAGAATTCATGGAAACATAGATGTTTCAAGATGGAAGGTAATTTATTGTAAATTCTCTTTTTAATCCATAATCCTTTTGTACACTTTCCTTAATCTGTGCTCCCCCAGCATCTGCATGAAATGCATGGGTGCTGGCCTACTTACTAGATGTGAGGCTGCTCACTCCACATTTGGACACCAAGGAGTGTTACAAAGTTCTTCCTAATATTTAACTGACATCTCTCCTCCTTCAACTTTCATTCACTGGTCTTTGTTCTATGATCCTGAGCAGTAAAATAAAAATGTATGCTCTCTTCTACAAAAATGTTTTCTGAAAGTTGAAAACAGAGATTATATGCCAGCTAAATCCCACCATCTTAATGTTGAACAATGCTAGTTTTCTTATCTATTCTTTATGTGACCTGGTTTCTTTGTATATCACCATCCTGTCTGTCCATCTGCGAGTTTTCTAGTTTGCCAATATCTGATAAATATGAAGCTATTGTCAACTATTTCTCCCTTAATGTTTGCGTGCTAGAACAGATGGACATTTCCCAAACCTGGTATAGGCCAAAAGGTCGCCTTACAGAAAATAGCCTAAGAGAAAAATTAAAAGGCATTTGCAGTTCCTTAGGAACGCAAATGCTTCTTTTGTGCTCACTTCTATGACAAGTGATTTGTTTAGTGTGATTGATTGGTAAAAGCTCTCGTTCAGCATTTTATCAGTATTTTATTCTTTCATTGTGTTTAACTTCTTTAGAAATTCCTCTTTGAAATAAGAAATTCACCACTTTCTCAGAAACAAATTTTAAAATGAAAATTTTAAATGTTACTACAAATGCTTACCCATATTTATGTAAATACTGTTACATAATTTCTCTTTTGCAAGGTGATCATAAAGAATAGGTTTGCTTTTCCCTAAAGGAAAATCGATTGAGAAAAGGATGAGGGCCAAAGATAGCAAGAAATCATTCCATAATTTTGGCTTGTATTTACAAATTTCAAAATGTAACATTGAATGCCTGTTAAAGTGTGAGATAGTTGTATATTTCTTGATATGTGGCATTTTACTGTGATTTGTAATGAACGAAGTTTCCTGTGTGACTCACTTAGGTTCTAGAAGTTTGCAGCAGCAAGGCAAAACAGGAACCACTCAGAGACCAGTGATATTCTCAATCCTGATGTACATTAGCATCAACTGGGATGCTTTTTGAAAATATCAATGCCAGAGACACAGTGCAGACCAAATCTGAATATCAAGCAGCATATGTTAAATGACTAGGCCCACCTACAATTTTACATTTGACAATGACTAGAGAAGGTTTCCTTGTCTAAAGTGTAAAGCAACTTCATGGCAGAGTGCCTTTCCTATCAGCCCAACTCATCTCCTCTGGCTTGCTTGCATTAACTGAAATTTAACACTCCAAAGTTTAGGCCAGAACATCATTTTTACTCTATGGATGCAAGGTTCTATTGTTTAGGGAATAAAGGTTTTAGAACTTGTGACTTAGAGCATTAGAAATATAATTCCGTTCATCAGCTAAAACCTTAACATTGCAAGTTCCATTCTAATAGGTTAAGAAGAACTTCACCCATACTAAATAGATATGCTCTACCTGCAGTAACTTCTCTTTCCTGGCTGTCCTGGTATTTTCTACTGATCTAAGTTTAGCTCAACTCCCATCTATGCCAAAACATCTTATCTGCCATACTAATATTTACTCATAGCACTTACTCATTCTGACTAACCAGTGATTCTTAAGTGATGGGTAGTGACCACCTTTTGAACAGGGAAAATCCTCCAGATGGACCTCAAACTAATCTAAAAATAGAAATTCTTTATTTGATTCTCATTGAGAAATTATGCAAAACTCCAAAAACGTTTATGTTCAACCAACATATTAAGGGAGTTATTAAGGTCTATCAAAATGTGGTACTCATAAACCAATACTGGCTTATTGTAACTAAGTTTTTAAAAATCAGTATAATACTACGAAGTCTGATGTCCACACAAATCTAGGCAACATTCAATCATTCACTTATTAAGTACCTCCACATACCAGGCAGTGTTCTAAGCTCATATTATAAAACTGCTGGACATACACACAGATAACTGAAATTCCTGCAAACTGTGGGAAGGGTGTTTTACTAACATCACATCATCAGTTGTCTTGAGGTGGCTGCACATTTCAATTGCTTCTATTCTGTTTATTTCTTAATAATACATTACTCTTGGTTTAGCTCTTTTATTAGTAATTTGATTCATTATTGACTATCCATACAGTCACTATCAATGAATATCTGCAACAGCAGTATTTTTTGGCATAGTGTTTCAATAATTAGGCTTGTATGCATGTGATTGAGGAACCTTCTCATTCATATCTGTATTGCAAAACAGATTTGTATATATCACCCTTTAGCCAAAAATTACTTGTACAGTGACTTTTCACTATATTCATCTGGTTATCTTAAACAGAAATTTAGGAATGGTTAGGGTAAATGATCTTGGGCTCTGTTCCTCCACCTAAAAATAGGCCTTGGTCAGAAAAATGTAATAACTACAAGTCTAAACCTCTCAGTGAGTTCCTAGTTCCTCATTCTCTCTACTACTCACTTGAGCACTCTATCAACTTATGTCTTAAATTCACTGGACTGTAATTCCCTGTAGATTGGGATCTTGTCTTATGACTCTATAGTACTTCCCTCCATGCTGACATGTTGACATGTGCTTAATAAACATTCGACTGATTGATTTGCTAAGTGATTGGGATAAAATGAAAGCTACTATTTAAAACTCAATCACTTAAGACAAATCTGTACAAGTATCCATATCTCTTTTATTCTTTCATGCATATTTATTAAGATGTTTAATTTTAATTAATGTTTTAACAATTCTGATAGAATTTTTACTCTGTTGAAGTACAAAATGTTATAGGTGAAGACAAAAACAATCAAGAAATGTGAACTGTTAAAATATTCCTGATAGTGGAAAACCAAATACTGCATGTTCTTGCTTATAAGTGGGTGCTAAGCATTGAGTACACATGGACACAAAGAAGGGAACAACAGACACCGGGGCCTATTTGAGGGTGGCAGGTGGGAGGAGGATGAGGATTGAAAAACTACTGATTGAGTATGATGATGATTACTTGGATGACAAAATTATCTGTACCCTAAGCCCCCATGACATGCAATTCCCCCATGTAACAAACCCGCACATGTACCCCTTGAACCCAAGATAAAAGTTGGAAAGAAAAAAATTCCCTGATGTTTATATAGCTCCCTATTGAACCTCATTGTCATACTACAGATTGAGAGTTGTTAATGTAGGCATAGTCTTTACGGAATAAAATTACTAATAAGAAAACATAATGCAAGACAGAATTATATTTTAGAATTAGTAGTTTAATGACAAGTTGGAGTCACCTGAAATTGTTATAATCAATGCCATATTATAATATGATGACTTGAGCTGAGGCACATAGACACCCAAGAGATTAGAATCTTTGATCCATTTTTAGAAAGCTACAATAACCAAATGTGTTTCTGGAGAAATTTATTTAAATAAAGTCCCTTAATTCTGGTGTATTAAATCAAATCAAGGCATACTAATCAACATTTTTGATTCAGTGATATAGAAAAATATAAAAGGAAAGATAAAAGATATGTTGAAAAGTATAGGATGACTGAATTGACAAGGTTTATAAACAGTGGCTTCTTGCTCTGTATTAATGAACCAAAAATAGAGCTACATTTGGTTTCCATTTTTATGGCCATTCATTGTTGTGTTTATTTAAAGAAGAGAAGATCTTTCTAACCCACAGAGTGAGAGAAAATCTTTACAAGTTACACATCCAACAAAGGACTAATATCCAGAATCTACAGGGAACTCAAAGAAATTAGCCAGAAAAAAAACAAACAATTCCATCAAAAAGTGCACTAAGGACATGAATAGACAATTCTCAAAAGAAGATATACAAATGGCCAACAAACATATGAAAAAAATGCTCAGCATCACTAATGATCAGGGAAATGCAAATCAAGACCACAATGTGGTACCATCTTATTCCCACAAGAGTGGCCATAATTAAACAAACAAACAAACAAACAAAAAATCACATAAGAAAACAGATGTTGACATGGATGCAGTGAAAAGGGAACACTTCTATACTGCTGGAGGGAATGTAAACTAGTATGACCACTATGGAAAACAGTGTGGGGATCCTTAAAGAACAAAAAGTAGAACTATCATTTGATCCAGCAATTCTACGACTGGATATCTACCCAGAGGAAAAGAAGTCATTACATAAAAGAGATACTTGCACATGCATATTTATGGCAGCACGATTTGCAATTGCAAAAATACGGAACCAGCCCAAATACCCATCAATCAACTAGTGGATAAAGAAACTGTGGTATACATATACAACAGAATACTATTCAGCCATAAAAAGGAATGAATTGATGGAATTTGCAGCAACCTGGATGGAACTGGAGACCATTATTTCAAGTGAAGTAACTCAGGAATGGAAAACCAAACATCGTATGTTCTCATTCATAAGTAGGAGTTAAGCTATGAGGATGCAAAGGCATAAGAATGATACAAGGGACTTTTAGGACTTGGGGAAAAGTGGGAAGGAGGTGAGGAATAAAAGGCTACAAATTGGGTTCAGTGTATGCTGCTCGGGTGGTGGGCGCACCAAAATCTCACAAATCACCACTAAAGAACTTATGCATGTAACCAAATACCCAAATACCACCTGTTCCCTGAAAACCTATGGAAATAATTTTTTAAGTAGATTTTTCTAACCAACACCTACCTCGTATTACAAAACCAAAGGTATTGCCTTCTTTATGTAATGTGACCTCCACGGTTCGGAAAATAACACTTGATCCTTGCACAGCTGAATAAAGGAAAGAGAGAAGGAAATATAACTTGTAAGTCATCATAACATTTCTAAATCATTCAATGTGGCATAAAATATTACAGATCCCTAGTTTTGAGTAATAAGCAACAGTCCCTTTTCAAAGAAAATGTTTAAAAAACTGTAATGATGTAAAAATATCATAAAACAGTCTTTTGTATAAGTGACTCATATAGATACAAATGTAACCAAAATCATAGCTAGTTCATTTCTTTCTATATAGTTAGTTTCTAAATAACAGGGTGATATTTACATTGTTCAAACTCTACCTAACAAGAGAGACAGTATTTATATAAGTAGAATTGTTTTCCTTTTGTAAAATGCAAAAACAATATTTTGTAACACTTGTAAAATAACTTCTGTATTTATTTTAATTTTGCAACTGGCACAGGAAGAAAAATTACCATTCTCAGATTGCTATCAATAATTAGGCTGATGCTAATAGATGTTCTGACACATAAATAGCTATTAAACTAAGACACAGCAACCCAGATGAAACTTAGAGGGCAAAAGAAATTCTAAATACATTCAGAATACTACTACTATCTAAGAAACTACAGATTGACTTAATTTTACTTGATACATTATGCTTATGTTGTGTTTGCGTGATTATCGCTTTCATTTAACAAAATGGAATTGTATTGTCAAGCTGCAATCTCTAGTCACATTACATACATGTATGACGGTATAAGGTATATGAAGGTATAGTTACTAAAATATTCTGTAAGATTGCTTTCGAGAACCTGTTGAGTCATGCTGATTGTACTATACATTATTTCTGCATTAAAAAAACCCATAAAACTTCTACAAATTGGTATTTTATCATTATGCACAGAGGGATGTTTTTATTCATAGACTTGTAATGTGTAGGAGAATTTTAGATCTTTATTTTCAGTTTGTACCTAGTTAACGCCATGTTCATTATCAAGTAACACATTGTTTTTACATTCCTACTAGATCCTGAAGGGTTTATTAGATAAAACTATCAGCAAGAAATATACAGGCAGGCCAGGCACGGTGGCTCACGCCTGTAATCATAGCACTTTGGGAGGCCAAGACGGGTAGGTCACAAGGTCAGGAATTCAAGGCCAGCCTGGCTAAGATGGTGAAACCGCGTCTCTACTAAAAATACGAAAATCAGCCGGGCGTGCGTGGCAGACACCTGTAAATCCCAGCTACTTTGGAGGCAAGGCAGGAGAATCACTTGACCTGCAGGGGCGGAGACCACGGTGAGCCGAGATCACGCCACTGCACTCTAGCCTGGGTGACAGAGTGAGACCTGTCTCAAAAAAAAAAAAAAAAAAAAAAAAAAAATATATATATATATATATAATTACACACACACACACACACTATACACACACACACACACACACACAGGCAGAATCCAAAGGGCTTGTTTAAAACAACTTTCCCTACAGAAATAGCAAGTAGTTTTTAGGCTTTAATTACAATTATTTTAATCATCAGAATTCTGAACCCTCAGGAAA